CATTTCAACAGGTAAGCTTGCTTCCCTTATCCACACAACATTGCCACCTTGAGACCTGTGTTCTGTCACAGCATTGTTCAGCTGTTACATGTAATCAGTGTCATAATCAACCAACAAAAGAGATTATAGTGCCAATTCTTTTAACCCCAGATGCTGTATCTTGCTGCAATATTTTCTCAGGCAAAGGATCTATATATCTATCTAAGCAGCAGTCATCCCTCGTTGGATGTAGCTCTCTGTCAGACCAGTCCAGTTTTTCTTATTCTTAGCATAGCATGTCCATCTGATTCCTGCTTCTGCCACTATATTGATATATGAGTAATAGTGTCACTATAAAAATACCCACTAACAACATGCCTGGCCAGCGCATTAGTGAAGGGCCAAAATCCTGTCAGGCAGAGTATACATCACCTAATATTGAGAACAAAGAAATGAAGCAACTAGAATAAGATAATTTTAAAAACTTTTTGACCACATGTTGCAATTACAGCATAGAAACTTAATTCACAAAAATGTAAAGATTTTTTTATATCACTAAAATAGATATAAAATTAATGATATGCTTGCATATCATATAGTCAGAGGCACTTTTAACATTTGAAATTACTTGGTGCAGTTTTCTTAAGAGTTTCTTTCTTTCTGTAGCAAGGATTATTTTGAATATCCAAATAAAGTGCAATCTCTCTTTCAATCTATAAATGATTAACATACTTTCAGGAGTATATTAATCATTTATTGATATTTTGAGTGGAAAAAACATATTTTGGATATGTATCTATACTGTCAGCATTTTTAACAATAATGTCAATGCTCTTAACTTTGTATGTTCAGGCTTGGTCATTTTGACCATTCTTGTAACCATGAAATGTAACTCTGAATGTAATAAGTATGTCTTACTAAAATTTGGCAAGTCTTTAGTAAACATTATAGGTCTGTTGTACACAAAAATTCCAATTGTTTAATGAATTATTTTTATAAAGTTTTATTTACGAATTTACAAAGCCTTTATTGGGTGAGTTTGAGTAAAAGGTGATTTTTATTCTAAGAATAAAAATACTTCTTTTTGTCATACAATTTCATATTTCATTTATATAATCTCTGGAACCTCCTAAATGAATATTATATTTTTTTGTAAAATGTTATACTTTATCACTTATTTTCTCTACCCTAAACCTAACTGTAATGAAAACATCGGCAAAAGTTGAAAAATACAAAATAGAATGACAGCAGACAGTAATACACAATTACAGTTATTTATCTTGAGAGCTTTAGGCCTCTTTTGTATCTGCTTTCACTTATTTTTTCTGTGTTATTCCTCTTTGATCCTCGTAAAACTATCTTGACAAGCAGTAAAATAATGGGTGGTATAGTGGAATAGAGGGATCAGATTACATCATGCATTTATAACTTCATATGTTCCTTGAGGAGTGATTATGAAAAAAATTATTTATTTTTCGTTTTAGTTTTTGTATGTAGCCTAATAAGTTTTTAAGTTAAAAAATATATCATAATGAATAAAAAAATTAGGTAAAAACAAGAAAATTATCTTATCTCTTAGGCTAGTTTCATTTTATAAAACCAAGAACATGCACTTACTAGATTAAGTTGTACAAAAACTTATAATTTCTCTGGCTTTCTAAGTAATCTGTGAATAGGTTAAGGAATTTTATTACTTCTGGGAGCACTGTGTTTGGTCCAAACAAATTTAGTTTGATGGTAAATTTTTTAATAGACATAGCATATGGGAGGGGTGTACCAATGTGGGTTGATCAAATATAGTGATATCTCATTAACCCTATTGCGACATGTCATAGCGGTTTTTGACTTTCATTCAAAATTTTATTGAACTACTATTTTTTGAATTTATATCAAAAAGTTTGGTATCAAATTGTAGATTATAATTCAAATTTTAGTATTATACATTAGTTAATTTCTTAATTTAAAAGATTTTCATATTACATATCAAATATCCTATTTTATGTAGCCTCAAATGACTCCAAATTCTTAACTCATCTTAAACTGAAGATACATTCTAGCAATTCTAAATAATATAAAATTTAAAAAACTTAAGTTTTCAGCCTTTTATTTTATTCTTAAAATTGACAATATACAAAATCAAATGAGCAATGATTTCTTTCACCAGTGAATAAGAACTACTTTTTGCCAAGGAAATTGTTGACTACAGACATCTACATGTGTTTCAGCTCACAAATATATCTATTAAGTCAGATTTTCACAAACTTTACTGAGACAGCTGATTTCATAAAATACAGTATACAAATAAATCTAAAATATAACACAGCCGAATAGCCCAAAACTAAATACCAATGTATAAGGTTCGGATAAGAAAACAAATGCAACTTGGCTTAAACCTCAAGATATATTAAAAAAATCCTTATGACTAAACAACGTACCCAGTACAACTAATTACAACACACACACACTGAAATAAATAAAAACAAATTAAAACCAGTAATAGTGCAAATACATGTTACTCTCTCTCTTTCAGTGCTCTCAAACAAGTTCAGCATAATAATTGAAGGTAAAAAAAATCTATTATAATGTATAAAAATAATTTAGAAGATGATATAATGAAAGCATGTCATAATTTATCTTTAGTTACTTTTTTCCCTAAAGTTACTATTAATTCTTAATGTTCTCTCTTTCTAATTGAAACTAACTGACACTTATTATTATATAAAAATGTTTTGTGAGAAAAATGTACTCTACATTCTCTTTATAATGTGCCATGTTAAAATGTTTTATTTTGTATGTGTGTTTGTGTTGACCATAATCTTCCAACTGCTTAAAGACAGAAATTTCTCGTACTTTGGTAGGTATAATTTCCTAACAACCGCAGTTTAACCGTTTGAGATGGGTCATGAGTGAAAGGCCATGTCATTTTGTTTGTTGACTCACATTCAAAATTTTATTGAACTACTATT